ATATATTTGAAAAAATACTAAGCAAAGTTTAAGTAGGGCATAGTTCAAATGCAATTGTTATGCAAATGCACCTAGCCCTTTTATATGTAAAAATAAATATAAACTAGCTGTTATTTTGACCCCCAATTATTGAACTAAGGTAAAATGACACTTTTGTAATGTGATACCGCTCACCTACCACATCTCACCTATCGCCCACCTACCTTCCACCTACCACTCTCTTGCTTCTATAAATAGAGAGGGTGTGAGGCTTAGGAGAGCAAAGGGAAGAGATCTTAAGCTACCACAAAGAAGGAGAGAATAACTAGAGCGCTAGAGAGGAGGAGAGTATCTTAAGGCCTTGTATCAAAGTGTCGTTTGAGAGGGAAGCCATAGAAGAAAGATGAGGGCTCATCTCTATGTATAAGCTATGTATTCTCCATTTCTTTTGCCTTAGTGAAATATTTGATTAATTCCCTCCCGTGGACATAGATTCAGTTGGATCGAACCACGTAAACGATCTGTGTTTGCTTGTGTTCTTCGCGTTTCATTTCTATGCCAGGAAGTACATATCTCATAACACTACCTGAGTTCTAATTAAATATGATGAAATCCGAGATTTATACACAAATCTCAATGTTAAAAAAAGATTATGAAATCATGTTAAAGGCCATGTTCTTCTTGCTCATGGTTTTCCCTTCTTGGTTTGAGAAAGTATTTGTATTTTATGCTTGTAACCACATTATTACTTAATTTTTCTATTTTAAATAATACATGAATAAAATCATGTGTATATAGATTTCCTTCAAAAATTTTAATGGCTAGCACAAGTGATGTTTAGTAGTTTACATTGCCTTCGAGGGTATTAACTTTTTTATTGTACTACAAACTGTTAATGCATATCTCCATCCCAGTGCACCACTTATAATATAATTAGTGCACTAAGTATCCCAAATTATTTCATAATTCTCCTATATAATTAGGTACTAAACCCGAGTCAAGTATTAGTCTTGTGTCAAGTTGGCTAATTTTCATCCATAAAATTTGATTTCCACACAAAAAATGGGCTGTTTGTTACAGGAAAGATCCTAACAAAACCTATTGATCATCATGATATATCATGAGAACTTAAAAAAAAGAGTTTTCAAAGCATCAGCTTACCAAATTACAATACATTCTAACGCAATACTTCACCTGAAAATAGTCATATAAACTAGCCTGCACTGAATTCAGCAATCTCAGACAAAAAAAAATGAGCACTTAATTTAAAATTCACACAAAACTTCACAACCAGAGAATTCCATATTGACATGACTACGTGATTTCTGTACAAATGCTACAAAAATTCACCGATACCGATATAATAATTTAAAATTCACACAAAACTTCACAACCAGAGAATCCCATATTGACATGACTGCGTGATTTCTGTACAAATGCTACAAAAATTCATCGATACCGATATAATGAAACAACAAATTGTTCAAAATATCAAAGCCACCTTCTTTCAATCAGGAACTCATGTCTGCATTGAAAACCCTTTCAGCCTTTGACATCCTCACAATGTAACAGAAATCTTCATTCGCGTCCCAAATCCGCCAAATGCAGGACACACTATGGATTTGGAAAAAATGAAGAAGAAGATGAAGAAGAAGAGTAAGACGAAGATATCTCCACAGCCCCATTGTATCTGAGCTCCTCTATCATCTCCTCAATGAACTCATCATCCATACCTACATCCTCCGCCTTAGTTCTCCTTATCTCCTCCTCAGACCCAACACAACATCTTTCGAGCTTCGCCACAAGACTCGGCGACAAGGCTGATGCCGAGTTTGAGCTTAGCGGGAAGTTTGTCCTCGCATTTGAACCACACATGAGCCTGGCCGCCTCATCATACGCCCTTGCTGCATCCTCTGCTGTCTCGAAAGTCCCCAGCCAAATCCTTGTCTTACTGCATAATACAAGTAAAAATTTTGAGTGAAAATGAAAGTATTAAGTATCGATAGAGGAAGAATGGAGAAAATTTACAGCAAAGGATGTCTGATTTCTGACACCCAGGAGCCCCAATGCCTCTGCCTCACTCCTCTGTATCTCAGCTGCTTTGGCATCTGCCTGGTTGCTCCAACACCTTTATTGATTTGATTTGATTTTGAGTAGGGAGTTAAGTCGCTTTTCAATTTATATGGAGAATGGTACAAATGCAATGACAAATATATCCCTACATATTTGAATATTTGTCAATTTCCCGAGGCCAAGTCGGCCTCGCTAGATTTGGTTTAAAATTATGTTTATTTTAGCCATCCGATCAACATCAGGAGTGAATTACAAAAACCGGGAATGCATCACAGCCGTCAAACGATCTGTTGTGGAGCAATTGAGAATATAAAAAATGGCCCATGGCGTGAAATATTAAAGTACATTATTTTTGTGAGACCCACGTGTTTTGGTTGGCTAGAAGCAAATACATTTTTTTGTCTCCTAGTGACCATTCAGGCGGTTTCTGATTGAAGTCTAAAACTTTTATCTGCAGTTTGAAGTCATTCTTATAGGCTGTTTTAGTGCTTTATAGATAGATGATATATATTGAAAAAAGAGTTTTTCTCTGTGTGAAAATAAATTTGACTGAATTTAATAAATTTATCTGTTTTTTTTTTTTAAAGAGTCGAACTTTTATGGCTTCAAGCTCTATAACCTGATTGCAAAAGACAATTCTTTGTCATATAAATATTTTAATTTCAGTGAGAAAGACTGGTGAAAGAAATAATTGAAACCGACCCTGGATGAGGTTTAGCCGACTAAAATTTAAAAACCTCAGATCTTGACAAAAATGCATAATATTTCGGTAGGCTTTAATGGAGAGAGAGGAGAATCACATGCGGCAATTTCCTGTGCACATGAGAGGTTTGGCCTTGGGAAAGATGGTGGCTTCTAAGGATTCAAAGGGTGGGGCCATTTTGGGGTGTCCAGTGAAGGGATACAAGGAAACACATGTGGGCAGAACCGTTTGATAAATTTGGTGCTATTTTGGGGAGCACATGAATGAATTCTATGGCTTTGAATGCTTGATACAAAATAATTAAATAGTTAGAACTAAATTTATTTCTCGACTCAAATCTCAAAAAAGAGTTGAACCAAAATTGAGGGAATAAGTGACATGAGAGCAAAATCTCTATTTTTTATATGGGAGAAAAAGAGAGGAAAATTAGTGTCACTCTTAGAAGGATCTCCAACTACTTATAGAGGATCTTTTTGTACATTATAATATAACTATTTATTGCCCATAAATCTCATAAGGCCTTTAACTTATCTTTTCTTATCTTTTTCATATCTTCATCTTATAATTCATATTATTCTTGATAGTATTGTATTTGGTAGCTTTTCCTTATAACACTTGACAAAACACATCCTTATCTGCCTACTTGGCTTTCAAATTAATTTAAACTCAAGTTATCTTCAAAACTATTTGTCATCCTTAAATGAGGTTCCTTTGGACATTAGGCCAAACTTAGTATGTTTGACAAGTGGGTGAGTCTTCTCAACCGAGTTTAATACTTGCAAGCAAGTTTATGAGCTTATCGTATTGATTGAGCTAGTAGAAGAGGTTTCGATGTACTACATATTCACCCATGCAAGTTGTATAGCCTTTCATCTTGAAATCAAACATGAGAGCAAGAATTTAATTATTTAGACTGGTCATTACATTAGCTCGTTAGGCAATCTGGGCTTGGGTGTTTTGTCTTGGAACGTTATATGATTCTAAAATTTAGACTCAATCACGTGACATTTGACTATAAATATTTAAATCTCAAATTTTGTTAACTCTTGGTGGAGGAGCTGCAAATAGAAGACATCAAAATGATTATTCTTGAAAGGAGACATAAAAATGATTATTCTTGAAAGGACCAATAGTATTTATTAATTTTATTTATAACATTTGAGCAAATCCTTTGAATTTTGTGCCTTTTATTTTTATAAAAGGGTGAAAGGATGATTCTTGGTTCATTTTTTCATGTTAAAGCATTCTTCTATACTTTTTCATTTAAATATCCTTTTTTTACAACGGTATGGTTGGAGAACAACTTAGGGTATACACAAATATTCCTCCATCAAAGCTCCTTGAAGTCTTATTTGTTTAATTATAGAATGAAGGTGATTCCAAGAGAAAGAAGAAGATGGTAAGGGAGACTCTCATCAACACTCATGAGTAGGCTTTTTCTATAATTTTATTTATTGGTATTGACACTTCAATGCATATTTCATTGTAAATTCCAACTTGTATGATTATTCGACCTATTGGTAGTCACCACCACCATATTAAATTTAGGGTCATTTAGGGGGACAGTAAATTTGGCTCCGCCTATACAAATTTGGATCAAAATGTACATAAAATTCATATTAGTTTACTAGATATTAAAAAAATATTAATAAAATTCTATTTACTTAATAAACTACACATACAGTGAATAACCAAAGGTGAATACCTTGAAGAAGGAGAGCGTCTATAAATTGATGATGCAAGAAAATTGAATTTGAATGTTCTTGTTGGTTTTATTTTTCAAAATGGGTTTTGATTACCGTGCATATTCAAAAATTTAGTTATTTAAGTAATAAAGCATGTCTTCAAAAGTAAGACACTATCCCGAGAGAGAGAGAGATATCACTTTATGCTGAGTTTAATTATCTAAATTAAGTAATTTTGAATATTTACATTAGTATACAATCAAAACTGATAAAATCTTTCTCTTATCTAGCCTGAAGAATAGATATGGTTTATAATAATCTATGGTCTTTAAACTTTCTACAAAGGCAAGTTTCTATAGTTAATTATATCGTAAGTAACCAATGTTACTTAAGAAAACTCTCGATTAAGGTTGTGGTTTGGTTTTCAAGAATTTTCTAAGTTTAGGCTTCCACAATTGGTTATTAAGAATTCCAAATGGGAACGGATTGAAGGTGAAATAAGTATTTTTGAAACCCAAAGGAAGAAAAAGTAGGAGATTTCGAAGATATTGAGAAGCTCATTGACATCTCAATTATCCTACTATTTGGCTTTAATGATTTTGAAAGAGATTTATTTGATGATTAAATATTATATTTTATTAGATATTTAGGGCTTATTTCACACGATGTATGATTGCGAGAAAGCCTAGGAGGTGAGGATTTATTCCATGACTAGATGAGCAATGATATCGCGATTCTGTGTTGATAATATAATTTTATGCGTTTATAGTGGCTACTCCTATTGATGTAGGTATTACTAACTTTACAATATAATTTCTAATTATTGATTTCAAAAATTCACTAGGATAAAAATGCAAGTGCACGTATCATTCAAGTAATATAGAGCTCTAATGAAGTCCCAAGTGTCAATCCCATGAGGAAGGAAAAACTCATTTTATAGACTTAGTAAAACTCTACTTAAACTACAGTTAGTAAAAATCTACTTAAACTACAAACAACTTATTTAGGAATGAAGATCGAAATTATATGTGTAAAAGGGAGTATTTATACCTACTAATTCTATTTTTAAACTTAAAGAAAATGTGAAATGTTCCTGAACTATCTTTACGTTGAAGAGTTCAAATTATATGAAAGTCCTTTTCTTTGCAATGTGATCATAATCAGTGTAGGAATCAAATGTTTATAAACTTAAATATTGTTTTGTGACAAATAAGAGCATATTTATTTATTACCTTCTTCGAGTGCATAAAGAAATTGGCTAACCTAGATTTAAGTTCCTAAATCCTTGGTTATGCTGGGTAGATTCTAACCTGTCGCGCTAGAGTACCCATATAAGCCCTTTATTTGGCTAACCTAGCTTTAAGTTCCAAACCCTAGATAAAATTTGTTAAGGTTCTAACCTGTCACCTAGAATCATCATTTTGCACCTATCAAAACTTATCTCCCTGTTTATTGGCACTCACTCCAAGATTACATTTTTTTAATCCTAAAGTTTAGTGTGGTAATTACTAATTGAGGAAAAGCATAACCCTCCCAAGCATTACGTTTTCACAATATGTTTTAACCCATGAATTGGCCAAATTACATAAGTAAATTAAGCGTGAAGTAATATACCATCACAATATTGAAATAGAAGCCATTATAAGTAATTTTAATCCTACACATGATTATTTCTCATCACAAGGAGAAAGAGAGAGAAAATTTCTCAGATTTCATGGGAAAATACAACAACACATGGATTGATATTTAAAATCAGGTTTACACATTAAATTTAACAAAACTCAAACAAAAATATAAAGCATTTATCTCAAACTCCTCCCCAAGCAAATCTCCTAAAGTTCTTTTAAAGAATTCTCAACTCTTCTTACAATTTCACTCCAATAGACACACCCCCTCACCTAAAGAGGTACACCCCACACACCTTGCAGAACCCCACTTAAAGAGACACTCCCTAATAATAACCCTCAAAATCCCCAAGAGTCACTACACATGCCCCTTCAAAATTCGTCCAAATACATCGCATTTTACAAAAAAAAAATCGATTTTGGTGCCTAGGCGCCCAACCGTGGTGCTTAGGCACCAATATTCTAGAAACAATGAAATAACAGCTCGACGCCTAAGTGTCAGGTCACAATTTTCTTTTTTGCTCCACTTGACTACAAATTGCTACATTTTTGTTGCATTTGCTCCAATTGCTTAACCTATTATACCTGTAATAAAAAAATACAAAAATACCGTCCATTAAAGTGTAATATCACTAAAAATAAGCATTAAATCTATTTTTAAAAAATAGCACATTTCAGGCATGTCAAAATCCCTCAAACTTCACTATTACTTGTTCTCAAGTAACTCTCCAATTTTATAACCGTATGCTTTAACTTGTTGTAGTGGGTTTCATTAAAGATTCCTATAATTTTTACCCATAAATGAGATAGTGTAACTTTAGAAAAATTTCCAATAACTCAGGTTAGAACTAGGGTATAAGAGTATGTAGTAATCAAGTAAGGAATTCTTATTTCTTATTCATTTAAAAAATAATTGTAATTTGTCAGACAAAGGAATCTGATCCCGATTTTCTATATATATAGATGTAAAATGTAATGTATGCGATTATATGATTAATTTTCTTAATAATTATTCTTAATTTGCGACAAATCCAAAAA